AACAGTAGGGTACCAAAATTGTTCATACAAACATAATCTTTGTTATCATCAAAACTCAGAGATAGAATTGCAGAACCAAAATCTTGTTCTAACACAAGATGCACTTGAGCTTGTTACCAATGACTATGTTTCGGTTGCAGCAGATGCGACAGAAGAAGATAGAAATGAACAGGGAAATCAAAGGAAGAAAGATCAGAAGGAGTTGTTCTACATCCATCAGTGTGTGGATGTGAATTTGTTTGAGAAGTTTGCTGATTCGACGACGGTGTAGGAGGCATGGGACACACTGGTCAGATGCTATGGTGGTGAAACATCAGTGAAGAATGTAAAGCTTCAATCCCTGTGAAAGTAATATGAGAATCTCAACATGAAGAATAATGAGAAGGTTTCTGAGTAAATCTCTACAGTGATTCTGATCACTAATGAGATGAAGGCTTGTGGAGAAACCCCTTCTGAAAAAGTAATCATTTAGAAGATATTGATGTCACTTACTCATCAATTTAATTACATTGTTATAGAAATTAAACATTCTAAAGATCTGGAAACCATGATAATAGAAGAGCTACAAATCAGTCTAGAGGCGTATTAGTTGCATCTGACTGAAAGAACTTCTGAGAGGGAAGCTGAGCAAGCTCTGAAGGCTTCTTTTATCAAGAAGGACCAGAAGCAAGAATAGACGTGGTGATAGATTCCAGAAGTCATAAACTTCTACTTCTGATGAGAAGAAACCTCATAAGGGTAAGGAGAAGTTTGACAAGAAGAAGGTTCAATGTTATTGTTGTAAGCAATTTGGCCTTTTTGCTAAAGATTGCTAGTCAAATAAGGGAAGGAGATCACAAGAATCAATTCTAGCCATAGGAGATTTTGATGGTGAACATGTGCTATTGATTGCTCCTGAGTCTGATGGAAAGTGTTTGGCAGACTGGTGGTATATGGACACTGGTTATTCAAATCAATTGACTGGAAACAAACAATGGCTGATAGCTTTTGACTCCAGAAGAAGGACACAAATCATATGTGTTGATGATAAGTATCTTAATGCAGAAGGTATGGGAAATGTCAAAGTTAAAGTGAAGAATGGGAAGATTGTTCTGATCAAGGATGTTTGGTATGTTCCTGGAATTAAGAGCAATCTGATGAGTGTGGGTTAGCTCATTGAGAAAGGTTTCTCAGTTATTATGAAGGACAATCTCTTGAAGTTGTATGATGCTAATCAGAAGTTGATTATGCAATCAGAACAAGGAAGCAACATGACATTCAAGGTGAATTTGGAGATAGAAAAAGCAGAATGTCTTAGTTTAGAAGACGCTGAAGCTGATAGTAAGCTGTGGCAAAAGAGATTAGGGCATCTGAACTACAGAAGCCTAGGGAATCTGAGTTCCAAGAAGCTTGTGCATGGAATTCCAAAGATTGTGAAGCTTGAGAAGTCATGTGAGGTATGTATGAAAGGTAAGCAACCCATTTCCATTTGTGTCAGAAGTAGCCCCAAGAGCAAAACATGCTTTGGGAGTAATGCATCCTGATGTGTGTGGACCATTTCCAGAACCTTCACTTGGAGTAAATAGATATTTTGTGTCCTTTATGGACGAGTTCACAAGAATGACGTGGGTAACACTCATAAAGTTTAAATATGAGGTGTTTATTGAGTTCCAGAAGTTCAAGGTGAAGGTTGAGAAACAAAGTGGCCAGAAGCTGAAGATTCTCATAATAGATGGTGGAGGTGAGTATAACTCTACAGAATTCCAAAAGTTTTGTGATGAAAATGGAATTGAGCATGAGATTACTGCTCCTTATACTCCTTAACATAATGGTCTTTCTGAAAGAAGAAAACATACCTTTCTTGATATGACCAGAACCATACTGAAAGAGAAGAAGCTACCTCATAATATGTGGGGAGAAGCTGTAGCCACCTCAACGTATGTCTTTAACATGTGTCCAATGAAGAAGCTGAAGGAAATTGTTCCTTTAGAAAAGTGGACTGGAGACAAGCAAAGTGTTAGTAATCTGAAGGTGTTTGGTTATGTATGTTACAAACATGTTCCAGAAGCTATAAGGAAGAAGCTGGGTTATAGAAGCAAAATAATGATTTTGGTGGGGTACCACAGTACAGGCGCATACAAGCTTTATTGTCCATAAACGAATAGAGTTGAAGTCAGTAGTGACGTCATTTTAAAAGAATCAGAAGTATGGGATTGAATCAAGTCTCAATCTATTTCTGAAGATAATTCAGAACTTGATAGTTTTGAAGAAGATTCAGAGTCAGATGATGATTCTGGAAACTCTGAAGATGAGTCAGATGGTGAATCTGATTCTGATCCAGATTTTGATGATGATCCAGAATATGGTGATGGTCATGCTTTTGGAAGGGATAACTCTGAAGACATAGGTTATGGAGGACAAGCTTCTGAAGATGATCATGTTTCTGGTGAAGGTCGTGATTCTGAAGGAGGAACTTTAGAAGATACAGGTTCTGAAGGCGATCCAAATTCTGAAGATGGTCAAGTATCTGATACTGTTCCAGAATCAAAAAGAGTTTTTGAACAAGTTTAGAGGCCACAAAGATTCAAATGAATACCAAGAAGGTTTGAAGATTTTGACATGTTGTAAGACACTGAAGTAGATTCAGAAGGAGAAATTGCTAAGTGTGTCATGTAAGTAGACTCTGAACATGTGAGTGTTGAAGAAGCTCCCAAGAAGAAAGTATGATTGAATGCCATGAAAGAAGAACTTAAAGCTATAGAAAGAAAAAATACTTGGAAGTTGACTAAGCTTCCAGATAAGAAGAAATCCATCAACGTCAGATGGGTTTTCAAGGTCAAATATAAGCCATATGGATCAATTAGCAAGCACAAAGCAAGGTTGGTGGCTAGAGGTTTTCTTCATAAACCTAGACAAGATTACTTTGAGGTGTTTGTGCCTGTAGCTAGACATGAAACAATCAAACTGGTGATTGCTTTAGCTGCAAATAGAAATTGGTCTTTGATGCATCTGGATGTGAAATATGCATTTCTGAACGGTCAATTACAATAAGAGGTATACGTGTCACAACCTCCTGAATTTATGAAAAATAATCAGGAAGAGATGGTGTACAAGTTACATAAAGCTCTGTATGGATTGAAGCAAGCGCTCAAAGCTTGGAATTTGAAGATTGATTCATTTTCAAGAAGCAAGGTTTTCAGAAGTGTGAGATGGAGTATGGCGTGTATATTCAGCATTCAGAAAGCAATATGATCCTGATATGTCTTTATGTTGATGACATATTGCTGAAGGGAAGTTGTTCTGAAGAAGTTTTCAAGTTCAAGAAGACTCTGATGATTGAGTTTGAGATGACTGGCCTAGGAAAGCTGGTTTACTTTCTAGGGATGTAGGTATTGTACTCTGAAAAGGGTATAATTTTGCATTAGCTGAAGTATGAACTTGAACTTCTGAAGAAATTGAAGCTGGAGAATTATAAGGCCGTTGTTACACCGTCAGAAACCAGTCATAAATTGGATTCTGACTCTGAGGGTGAAGATGTAGATGTTACAACGTTCAAACAGTTGCTGGGTTCTCTGAAGTATTTGTGTAATACCAGACCTGACATTTGTTATGCGGTTGGATTGGTTAGTAGGTTCATGAGTAAACCTAAGTGGTCCCATTACCAAGCTGTTGTCAGGATTCTGAGGTATATCAAGGGAACTCTAAAGTTTGGAGTACTATTCTCTTCTGGAAGAAAGACATATTCAAAGTTGATGAGTTACTCTTATTTTGATTGGTGTGGAGATAGAGTTGATAGAAGAAGTACTTCTGGATACTCGTTTAAGTTTATGGGAGGTCCTATTTCTTGGTGTTCCAAGAAGCAATATGATGTTGCTCTATCAACATGTAAATCTGAGTACATTGCAGGTGCTATAGCTGCATGTCAAATTGCGTGGCTTCTGAATTTATTGTAGGATCTGAGGATCAACGTTGTTAAGCCTCTAAAGCTGATGAGTGATAACAAGTCTGCAATCAATCTTGCTAAGAACCCGGTACTACATGGGAGAAGTCAACATATATTGAGACAAAGTATCATTTTCTCAGAAGTCAAGTCTAGAACGGAGTACTAGAAGTTGTGCCTGTAGCACCAAGAAATAGCTGACAGATATCATGACAAAGGCAATCAAGATGGATCAATTTCTTCGCTTAAGAGATGAAATTTGTGTAGTTAATTTTAATTAGAAATTCTAAATTAAGGGATGGTATTAAAGGGTATTTTAGTATTTCTAATTGTTTTTGATAACTTAGTTATTAAGTCTATTCTTTAGGGCTTATGTGGCATTCCTTTTGTGTATAAATAGACTAGTTGTAAATGTCATAAACACAAATAAGAATATTTATTTCTCTTATCGTTTTTACTGTCATTTTCTTTACTTTCGTAAATATATTCTTTGTTCATCATTGATTTTTGTACACTAACACGTCCTCTCTCGTGAGTCTGCATGTCACATATCTATGCAGTCTCTAATATTTTATGTGTTTGCCTTTGAATCTTCATTGATCTATGATTTTTTACCTCGTTTAATCTTTTTATTTTCATGCATCGATACATCATCTGTAACTTCTGATATGTTGTTATATTGTATTCGGTTGCTAGCTTAAAGTTATATTATAAATCTTATTGCTACTTTAAATTTCTAATGCAAGCCTTACACATGATTGTATTTCTACACAAGTTCAGTAACTCAGCATATATTTTTCTACAGCATTCATTACATTCCTGTACTTTGAACACATCAACGTACTAAGTCAGATTAATACAACCAACAACAAAAACATACTCTATATACAATATCTAACTTTGTGCTTCATCATTGCACAATTCTATGCAACAAACCAATCTGGTTCTATGAGTTTCAATAAGGCATCTTCAAACTTAACTAATATCCTGAAACAAATGTTGAATAACCAAATTATAAACATAAATATTATCTCTGCATATACAAAATCACTATTGAAGAAAACAAAGGGTGGTGTAAACTTTATACCAATAATAGTGCAGGTGATTTCTTTGACCCCTTGAGTAAGCTTCTTTTCATTCTTTCTTTGTTCCCTTGTGGAAAAATCTTCACCTTCTCTAACTTACTTGACTCATTTATGATATATCGCGTAAAGTCCAACTCAGTTTTCATGTCTTGAATTCCTATAAATTCAAATCTAATAAGACTTGTTGTAAGACATGTTGGAATTTCTGATGGTACCTCCCAACCCGCATCCTTTGTTCTCTCAAAACAATTCTGCAAATAACCAAATCCAAAATTTTATTGTCAGATTTTACCAACTGCAATCACAAGATTCTTAAGCTTAGATCCATTTGAATGAAAAACTTCATACACACCTCAATGACAAGATTCTTAAGCTTAGGAGCTTTCTGAAGAAAACTAAGGAGCATATTCCAATTGCAATTCTCAGATATATCAACCTCTAAATTTAATAAATTGGAAAAAGTCGGAAGACGACTTAGCTTCTCAACATTATCCTCCATGCTAAGAAACTGCTTAAAAGATAACAAAATTATAAATAAAAAAATTGCATATTGTTTTTCAAAGAAAAAGATTATGAAACTTACCAGAATTGTTTCGTCACTAAGATACAATGATTTGACTTTAGAAATTCCTTTCAAGAGTTCATACAAACTGTCAAAATCTGGATACTTATTGATAATGAGAGCAGCTAGATCACCATTGAAGAAATCTAAAGATTCATATTTGATGGGAGTAAAATCAACAATATCGAGAACTTTAAGTGATGATGGAACAATAATTTGAAGTGTTTTGTCTCCAGAAGCATCAGGAGATATATCCAAAACAAGCTGTAATCTCTTCAATAATGGAAAAGAGATTTTGATGGATGGATTCACGAGGACGTCGTGTAAGAGAAATTCCTCAAGACGCGGACAACCAGATAGAAAAGGTAAGAGATTCAACCCAAGAAATCGGAGATGAAGAATCTTCAGTGACGGAAAATATACTTCAGAACAATAACTGAATTTTGGCTGAATATTCCCGGTCAGTTTCAAGACTACGAGTGACTCCAATGTAGAAAGCTTGAGTGGCAAGAAAGTTGGTTGAACAAGATTCAAATCCAAATGAAGTTCTTTGATCTTGAGATCTGATGCCTTTAAGATCCACTGGTATACATCAGATGGTTGGCAGCCATGGTTACTCTCAAGCCTTAGTTTTCTTATATGGTTCTCGCGTCTAAACAAAACTGCGTATACAGAATGGATTTGTCGGGACGAAATAGGGTTTGAAATCTTTGGTAAAATAAAGTGAAAGTCGAGGATCTTGGTGCAAATCAGTGCCCATCTTTTAGATAGAACACATGTTCTGTAAGCCATTTTTGTTGGCAAAAATGATAAAATATGACATACCAAATCGTCTAAGAGATTGTGGAACGCGTCAGGCTCGTCACCAGAAATCGCCATTGTTTTGAGTTTCTTGGCTGGCTTCCTCAGTATGCTCGTTCTTGATACTCAAGTTTCGTCGGAGAAAGAAAGAATTAATGCAAGTTTGATCGAATGTGTATATTATATAGATGGAAGGAAGCGTGCAGTTAGTTAAGATGTGTGATATTCTAATAGGACTAAAAATAATAAGAGGACTAAAATACATAATGTGTTTTTAACACAGATTTTTATAGCCATGCCATATAATATTACTGTTGTGGGATTCTTTTCAATATTTTTTAATGGGTTTAATACCGTTAATATTTTAAATCATCTAAATCATTTAAAAATATATCAGTATCAATTGACATAATACATGTCATTCATTAGATGAACAGTGTAAAGTTATTATACACAGTCACAACATCTATTTTCTCAAAAATTTATAAAACTTTCTTCAATTTGAGAACTTACTCAGTATATGTCAATAATATGTGTCTAAATATAAGAAGTGTATGTTTGGTTATACCTCATAATTGATTTTGAGTTATTGGTTTTGGAGAATTGATTTTGGTTAAAAGTGAGTTAGATGTTGTTATGTGTCACTTAAAGATTCAATAACACGAGATTTAGTTATTCAACCCGTTCCATTAAGTCTAAGGTATAAATACTTTTATAATGGATTTTCATATACACAATCTTTAATCTCCACTTCCATTTTCACTACAATTATATGTTGGAGTGATAACCATGCAGGTGCCTCCCTCAGATTCGTCGTATCGAAGATTAGTAATGTCGGTTCAAGATCGACACCAGTTAACGACATTGAATTAAGATCAATGCCTCAGGTCAAGAAGTAGCATGATCGCAACCTCCGATCCACGATGTCGCATCACATAATCGCTCGTGAAACTTCGTCTTGTCGTAGCTTCCACAATCCTCTCTATTTCTAGTTCCACAATGAAACAATGACACTGTTTGCGGGAAACGAATTATGATTCCTGCGATTTTCATGAGGTCAAGTCCGTTTTGTAAATCTAAAAGCGTCTCTAGTGAAAAATTTGAAATCTCAAGAAGACAAAATCTAAAATCTACGTCCTTTGGATCCGTTAAACTCTGATCCAACCATGATCGATCATTCAAATCAATTCCGAACCGCCATAAAAGACATCAGCGAATATCCCCAGATCTACAAAGCTCCGACCGATTAGGCTCCAATTAGAGCCACACCTGACTGACTCGATATTCCGTCTAAACAGTCAGTACATCTTAACGTGGCACACCCACAAGCAAAGCAGACATACATGGCATCACGGACGTCTTAAGGTTAATTACACTTTAAGCGAATTTTATTTATTACTTTCTGTAGCAAACAAATTGTGCAAACTGCAGGGCTCAAAAGCAAGCCCTAGCTCTATTCAGATCTCAGTTGGTTGGAAACAAAGGTTGAAAAGAGTGCAATACAAAACCAAAAATCACAAGCATACAAAAGGGAATTATATAGATAAATGTAAATATTGCTTACAAACCGAAGCACAAAGTTCGGCAAAATCTTAAATGAGAAAAACAAAAATAAAAGAAAGAGGAAACCAAAAACCCTTAAACATTAATACCCGACTCTGAAGCACCTAGGCCACCACTGGCGTCCTTTCTAGAAACTGCTCAAAAAGGATCCAGTTGATCAAAAGTGACGGGAAAGCTAGGATAAAATCCTCGCTCCTGCTTCAATGTCTGGTCTTAGATTTAATACACGACTTCCATAGTCCGCTGAAGTGACTCCTAAGATTTCTACTGTGTGGCAGCAACGTCTTCCTAAAGGCTTTTTAAAGCACTAATTTGGCCATCCTTCTTCTGTTGAAGAAAAATCTGACGTGCTTTGAATGCATGACACGCTTAAGTCGCATCTATATAAGCTTTCTTCCAACATTTCTCTCCCTCAATAAGAGAAGCCTTTAACGTCATTAATTGTGTAGCCAAATTTGATAGAGAATCATACTGATTTTCCTCTTCCTACAAAGAGTCAGCAAACTCGGCCTTTATTCGCAGCTCGTTCAACTCCTTCTCAACCTCAAAATTTTCTCGCTTAAAAGCCTCACATTTCTCCTTTATCCCATTATGCTCCTTGGAAAGGTCTCCATAGCTCAATACATCATTCTGGCGAGCAGCTACCATCAAAACCCGTGATCCGGCCCTAAACAAAGTCCGGGAAGCTTTTGCAAAAAGACCCCTCATGTAAGTTATAAATAAGCTCCAGACAAAGGAAATGTCCTCGTCGGCCACATCAATAGTAAATTCCTCCGGGCTACTAGGCAATAGAGATGGAAGAATAGCAGGAGTCTGGAATAAAAGAGTAAGAGCTTTTGACTCGGCACCCACCAACAAACGATCATGTTTGGAATAATATACTTCAACAAAAGTAGAAAGACTATTAACATGACTCCTCTAGGAAGGATAAGGAGATAGTGAAGGCTCATGGATAGAGAATCTGGCTGCCGTAATAATTAGTTGTTCCACCTCAGGAGTTGTACTCGGGATAGTAGTCACAACCACTACCAGGGCAGCAACTATAGTTAGCGCCTATACCCCTAGAGAATAAGTAGTAGCAACAATATGAGTCATCAACACTCAGATAGATAAGTCGATCGTAAGACCCTGATCCTTAGAAAATGAAAGAGCCTTCTACAATTGATTCATGTAATCTATAAAGTTTTTGTCTCTCGGCAATGACTGAGTGCACTAATAATCACGCAAATGTCAATCTTCTTTTTTTCATTGAGAACACGACACTTCATCAAGACCAAATCCCTTTTCATAATCGAGATCTTGATACCAAGCACACAAATCCTCTTTCATTTTCAGCTCCTCGAAGAAAGAGGGTTTAGCCCAAAATGGTAAGACGAAGGAGATCGATGGAATTGATCTCTGGACCAATACTTCAGAAAACTGCTTCTGGAAGAATTGGCACATCCCACAGGGGCTGAAGACAAGTAGAAGGCAAAATGAACCTCAAGAGTAACAGGTTTCACCAGCATGAAACATTATATAAAATTACCCTAGTCATTGGTGAAAGGGCCTAACCAAGGCACTTAATGGCGAAGGAAGGCCAATTCTTGATCCATAGTGTCATCTTGAGAAGTATGAACCATAGAAAAAAGATAGAAAAAGATCTCTAGAGATGGATTCCTATTTCGATGCTCAATGCAGAGTTGGAACACCTTCTTAAAAGGCCAACCTTTGGGATGAAGTTGCAAGGGGGAAACTCTCAAATGGTCCATCACGACCACCTCAAGATCAGAGAAGGGCAAGCATATCCCAAACCTAGTGAAGAGACATGCATATAGAGGAACCGAACAACCCTCAAAAGAGTTGCATATCCTCTCCTCCAGGCCTACTGGGAAAATCAATCAATCTGAGGGGTTGTTATTAGTAATGTCAGTATTCTTTATAGCCTCGAAAATATTCAAGATGAAAGAAGTACCAACCAATTCGGCAGCCACCCAGTGGTATCTATTGGCATTAGCCTGCTCAACTAACTGAAGTCCTTTGTGAGCCAATTCATCAGCTTTATAATGATCACCAAGGCTGATCTATGACACAACGTTAGACTGTGGAAAAATGAAGGGAAAGGCCTTTATTTATAGGCCAAAAGTGGGTATAAAAAAGGAAAAGACCCATGGGTAAATTTAATGGGTCAATCGATTAGGTCCTCATGCCAATCGATTGGATGCCAAATATACTCTATTATAATTATCCATTTTAGAAAGATTTGATTGAGCGTACTTACCTTTCATTAATAAACTATCAAAATTGATTATGAACCAAGTTTTATCTTATCCAATGGACTGGAAATATGCTACAATCGATTGGACAATTCAAATATGTGTTCTAATCATTCTGACAGTTTCCAATTCATCTAGCTAGGTTTCTAAACATATTTAGGTCATTTTCTTTGAGAAATAAAGGCTTTTGAAAAGTTTTTAGTGAGTGTTTTATTTATCCATAATACTTTACAAAATTTCCTTTGTATTCTTACACAACACTGATCACTCAGAAACGATTATGAGATATTTATATTTCCTCTCTTTCACACTCTGAAGCTTCAATACTTTGCCGAATGCATAATTCATATAAGAACTTGCTTGAATCTTCTTGAGATAAGGCTTGACATATCTTTAAGTTGAATTCCATCATGGATGGTCATTAAACCTTAACTTTTCAACTTTATTTAGAGGAAGAGCCTGAATAAAATTTCTTGTGCATCTTTGAGCCATTGAAATTATTTATTGTCTTTGTGTTTTAAGGCTAGGTAATATATTTATAAGTTTCCATAAAGTTCATAGGATTTCATCATCAAAACCATGATAGGCATGACTTTCTTGTCTTTGATCACTTTTTGATTAAACCTACAAGCACATAGTTCCATATTCTCCCTCTTTTGATGATGGCAGCATATCTTTCAAGGAGGGGGTAAAAGAAAAGGATAGGTATATAAAATTGGAGTGTTTAAACTCTTCCTCAAATGAGCAGAGAGTATACTCTACCCTCCAAAGAGTATACTTTTCCCCCTTTGTCATAATCAAATAGGTGGGTAAAAGATGGATGACGGGAAAATAAATATGCAAGCACATAAGCATTTTAGAAAGGGGAAAACAAAATTTTATTCAATATAAAGCCAATTTTAGTACAATATAGGAATTGAAAAGGGAAAGACAAAAACAATATCAAATAAACAAACAACCAATTCATCTCCTCTTCATCATCCACAATGGACACCATTGGATATATATGAGAGATGATCTCTCCAATTTCGTGATGAGTTTGCAAAGTTATTATATGCATCGTCTTCTGGTCTTCACCAATGTCGTTGAGGATGTTTGAAGAGAATGAGAAGAGTTCGTAATTTTTTTCTTGGCCTTTATGGTGACTTTGGAGATAGAGTGATGATTTCCTTTCCTTGAATGTTGTACCTCATTTGACTCAAAATGCTTCTTCCTATTTTTGAGTGTTTAATCTTTGATTCCTCTCCATCCACGTTGAAGTCGGAGCACGCCAAGATGTTCGTAATTAGTCCACTATATGGTAAAATTGTATTTTTATTTTTGATATCCATCATATGATGGATCATAACATCAACCCAATTTCTTATAACTCGATTTTCCAAAACCAAATTGGAGGTATATCTGTTTTTTTGTATGGTGATCGAGTTGCTCTTTCTTAGAAAGAGAACACGATTCATCGTATAGTGAATTAACCAAACTTTCGAATGTATAATGCCAATGGTGAATGGAGTAAGATTTCCAGAAGATGGATCAATAAAAAAAGGATTGGGAACAAAAATCAAATTTAAATTCATTACTTTCTTCATATTCATCATACTCATGATTGGTGAACGGTAGGTTGCAAACTCGTGCAAGCTCTTCAACGGGTAGTTCAATGGGGGTTTCTTAATTTAGAGCTAAGAACACCATTAAAGTATGAGATATTTGCATGAACATTCTTATCAATTCGGAAAATATCTCTTAAGGTATTTCAAAGATGAAATTCCTCAAGTTGGCATCTTTGAAGACTTCGACAAAGTTGCATTCTTTTAAAATCCCTTCATCCAAGTAGCGAGAAAAGTAGACTTCTCTTTCGAAGAAATACAGATTGAAAGTATTTCTTACTCTTGAGAGGGGAAGACTTTGGATTAGTAGGATGGAGATGCTTGGTGGTGACCGCAATTACACAAATAAAATTTAAAATACGGCCCTAAGGTCTCAAATTGGTTGGAGATAGAGCGTTGAAATAATATTAGAATTTGGCCTAAGACAACCTTACAAAACCAATGTGGCCTAACATGTTATATAAATTATTTCAATACTTTATATTCAATCAATGTGGGACTTTAGAATCTTCCTCACACTTCATTCTATAACACACAAAAAATCATTGGTGCTCGAAGCTTCTCGAAGGGTTATCATATGACTTCTAAAATTGGAGTTTTTAAACTCCTCCTCAAATGAGTAGAGAGTATACTCTACTCCTTTGAGATTATACTTCTTGTTCTTTGTCATAATCAAAAAGGCGGATAAAAGATGGAAGGCGGGAAAATAAATATGCAAACGCATAAGCATTTTAGAAAGGGGAAAATAACATTTTATTCAATATAAATCCAATTTTAGTACAATATAGGAATTAAAAAAGGAAATACAAAAACAATAGCAAATAAGAAAATAACTATTTCATCTCCTTGTCAGCATCCTCACTGGACTCCATTGAAGATATGAGAGGTGATCTCTCCAATTTCGTGATGAGTTTGCAAAGTTTTTATATGCAAAGTTAAACTCATTATCTTTGTTATATTCATCATACTCTTGATTGATGAACGGTAGGTTGCAAACAGGTGCAAACTCTTTAACGAGTAGTTTAATGGGGGTGTTTCTTAACTTCATAGCTAAGAATACCATTGGAGTATGAGATATTTGCATAAATTATTCTTACCAATTTGATAAATCTATTGAGGTACTTCGAATAAGAAATTTCTCAAGCCGACATATTTGAAGATTTCGACAAAGTTGCATTCTTTTAAAAGCCTCTCATCCAAGTAGTGAGAAACATAGACTTCCCTTTCAATAAAATACCGATTGAAAGTTTTTTTTTCTCTTGAGTGGAGAAGATTTTGGAGTAGTATGATGAAGATGCTTGGTGGCGACTGCAATGACACTACTAAAATTAAAATACGGACCTAAAGTCTCACATTGGTTGGAGATAGAACATTGAAATAATATTAGAGTTTGGCCTAAGAAAACCTTACAAAACCAATGTGGCCTAACATGTTATATAAATTATTTCAATACTTTATATTCAATCAATATGTGACTTTAGAATCTTCCTAACACTTCATTCTATAACAAAAAATCATTGGTGCTCAAAGCTTCTCGAAGGGTTATCATATGACTTCTAACAGAGGTAGTAGAAACAAGAAAGAAAGCCACTACCCTTGTTTTTACACATCACTAGTTGTTACCAAATCCAAATTCCAATGGAGAATTTTCTTGATGCAAATCATAAACCATGTCTCCTCCATAAACAAATTTAGTTCACACCTGAACTTTATCAGAACTATCTTGCTCTCATAGCTTCTTCCAGATTATTTTGATTTTTGTTTCTTGAACCCTCAACCATGACTAGTGGTTTGAATTTTTACCTTACCTTAGAATGTTGGGAGTATTCAAACTATGATGTTTTATTGAATTCAAGTAGGGGAGAAAAATATTTGCTTTCTTATTTGTTGGTTGCTTTGAGGTCTAGAAAAAGAAAAAGAAAACAAATAAAAGTGAAAAAGAAAAGAAAGAAAAAATGAAAAAGCTTTGAAAAATAAGAAAAAAAAATAAAAAAAAAGTGTTAATAAGTCATGTTTTTGGTGTAACAATTGGGAAAAAAGAAGAAGTGTGATTGAAATTTTGGTGCTTGAGACTTTGTGGATTGATCACTCCCTTAGAATTAGGCAAGTTTTTGTTTCAATCACCTTTAGAAATTTCCCCTTGTTTGTTAGCCCAACCAGATTACAACCTTGAAAAGCCCTTATGATTCTTGCTTTTATGTTTTCAATACGATTTTTTGGATGAATGCATAATTTAATCTTTTGTTTGCAAGATTGTTGGGTGAGTGTCATGTCCCTCATGTTTGTGTGTTTTTCATTCCTTGATGAATTTTTTCTAGGTGTGATTCATGATTGAGCATGTATTGTTTTGGAATATTTGGCATTCTTTTTATCATTAGGATTTGTTTTGTTTTCATATTGTCATTGTAGTATAGTGGTAAGCATTCTTTTGCTTGTAAATTGTTGATTCTTGAACCATACATTTGTTTTCTTTTTCTAAACTTGTTGATGCTTGATTTCTTGGTTGTTGCTTTTGTTTCTTTAAGATTGTTTGACTTTGTTTGAGGATAAAAAATGTTTTAAGTTGGGGAGAGTTGATAAGTTCCATATTGTGGTGCTTTTTAGTGTGAATAATTAGCACTTATTGGCTTGATTCTTTAGTTTTTCTTCCAACTCCATCACCTTCATTCTTTTGATGTTAGAGCTTAGAAAACAACATTTGGAGGTTGTAATCAGATGACCTGGGATCAAATATTCTTTGATCGTGATTGACACCGCGAGAGATTTTTTTTCTTATCCACTCTTCCCTTTGTAAACTTTACTTGTTGGGGTTTGTTTGTAAGTCTACTCATTTTACATGTATATTTGTTGCTCATGGCATTGTATAAAATGTAGTTTACAAATCAATATTGATGTTTATCCTTGTTTTTGCTTTGTGCTTGGATTTGAGTTGCTATAGATATATACTCCTCAAATCTTGTTCTTGGATGAATATTTACTAGGTTCTATACTCTAGAGATAGATTTAGGCTTAGTAATCACAGTGGGCATCAACTTCTAATGCCTTCGTGTTGTTTGCATTTTGCGAGACATCGTCGATGGGAACAAAATGATTGATATCTCAACTTTGAGTTAGAAATAACCTATGTTGTGAGTGATACATGATGATATTGATGAGTAATTTAGGTTGTGTACAATTGGTCGATGGACTTAAGTATTTGAAGGGTAGATGAAATCCAAACCTGAACGAGTTCTCTCATTTCCAAAGAATGTATTTATTTTCTTGTTCGTATTTTACTTTTTGCACTTAACTTAAACCATTAAAAACCAAGATTTTAAACGTAGATATCGTTGAACGACATTCATTCCCTCACACAGATCCATGTGGATACGATAAAACCCGAAATACTTTCAATCTTTTTCTTGCCGCTTTAATGTGTCAACAAAAATTCTATGATGGATTGCAAGGGCAGAAAATTATTTTGGTTTAAGGTTTGTGTTCTTCAATAATAATATAACTCAATATTTATTTTATTTATCTAACCCTTTTTTTGTTTTATATCATAATAAAATGAATGCAAAAGCCATCGAGAATATATTGCACCCAATATTTTCTCTTCCCTAAGATTTAAATGAAACGAGGATCCATCATGTGTTCTTCACTGACAGTGATGACGAAAATTTGTTATATATTTTTACTTTAATATTTTGTGTAAACATTATAATATTATGTTTAAACAATGTAGTTTCTAAACAAATTAATTTATTGATATTCTATGTAAACAATGTAATGATTATTTTAAAAAAAAAAATATTTTTCCCCTCGGTTTTGGTCATAAACAAAGAGGTATGTGTGCTAGTTTTAAAAATATAAAAAAGATTTTTTTGAGGATTGAACTCATGTGGATATAACTTTACCCCCCGATTTTTTAGTAATCGATGGATAAAGTGGCAGCTTTTATGACTCCCTTCGCTACCTCGCTTCTGTAGTCGAGGTTAAATGCATTTTGCGTCTGAAGTTAAATATGTTTTTATAGTAATGCAGGTACATCCATATTCTATAAAGTGTACCCCCACTCCAATGGCAATGTAATAACTTTATTTCTTCCTTTATTCTTGTTTATTACTTTGTGTATGATTGTTAATACAAGACTATCGATAAAATCAACACTTTTATAAAAAGATCAAAAACTACTCGATCCAACGTCGAGTCTTTTCATAAATAAACTCCAAAATATATTGCAACGTGCATACTCAAACCCTTGTAAGTTGATTTCTTTTAGCATCACCATCTACCTATTCACCTCACTTAAAACCCTTGTAAGTTGATTGCTTTTGCATCACTATCAACCTTTTTCCATTCTCCATTCAAAACACTTTCGTAATCAAAGTTCCAAACCTCGATCCAACGTCAAGTTATCATTCAAAAAATCCATTTTCGTAAACAAAAACAAGAATGGAATTAGGGTTGGATTTAGATCCTCTCCCTTACAGAATATTCGAACATTGCTTTAGAGCTCATTATTTTAGTAGTCTTCCTTCGTGATTAAAACACTTAATAACACGAATTCTGATTCACCTCACACTTTCAAAAACAAAGTTTTGGGGAAAGAAAAGTGATTTGGATTTAGATTCATTCCCTTATCAGGTATTCGGATACTGTTGCGGTAATCCCTATCTGGGTACCTATCTCCAACTTAAAAATAACTCAACTCATCAAACTTGTTTTCTCTACCTTGCGCGACTTCAAAAATCTTTTCAAAACAAATGTGCCTTAGTCATTTCGACATGAAATGAACAAAGACTTAGCCTCACCAAATGAGTAAACAAGTCAAGTTCAAACTTTTGAAATGTCTAACGCATCATTCTTCTAAAATCAACCAACAAATCTGTGGTTTTTCACCCTGAACTACGGAGCTCTGGTTTCCTTATTGCACTTTAAAGATACGTAGGAACTAGACTGCGAAGTCTTGGCGAGCATAATTAACTAAAAAAATAAAAAACTATTCTTCTTTCTCCTTTCTCAATTAATAATTAAGATATTGCAAACTATCGCACTAACACTCAAGCACACACTAACTAAACGGTTCTCATCGAGTACGATGGATATGAGGGGTGTTATCACCTTCCCCTTGCATAACTGACTCCCGAACTCTCTCTTGGTTGTGATGACCATTTCTGTTTTTTATGGGTTTTATTCAATATTTTCCTGTTCCTTTGGAACAAATAAAAATCAGTGGCAACTTCATTACTTTATATTTCAAGTGTGCGATGCGCTTGGGTATTTTTCACGTCGCGACAACTTGCAAGATTTAACTAATACTTCTCTAAAAGAGGAATAAATTTGAATTAAAATACTTTGTCTCTCTTTAAGACTTTCTATTTCTTCCAATATGTTTTTATTTTCAAATTCGAGGGAAGAAATAATGGTTTTATAGGTGGATACAAGATGTTTTAATTTACTTGATTCTTTATTTAACTTCTTACAAATGTGAATTAAATTATGATAAGAGAAGTGTGAAGTTACCTCATCTTCTTTATGATCTTCCATCTGATAGACATTAATTTCTTCCTCATTTTAGGATTTTATGTCATTATCATCACAAGCGATGTAGGCTTTCTTAGCTTCTTTTTGGGGTTTCTTGAAATTTCTCTAATTCTAGTTCTTTCTCTAGTTCTAGTTATAAGTGTAGTTTGGTCTTATGTGTCGATTCTTTCCATATTGAAAAAAATATAGGAGTGAATGAAAATCTTCCTTCATTATTGAGTTGCTCCCCACTCTATTTTTTGTACTTCATATATTTGGAGGTTTTACATAAGCAAAGTCATGTGTTTATCAGAGTCGTGATCTTTTCTTCTTCGGCCTTGAGAGTTAGACTCTTCTTCTCCTTACCCCCTTCTTCATTATTATCTATCCTTTTCAGCTCCATATTTTATTCTTGAAATTTACCAAATAAAGTAGCCTAATAAGTTGAACATGTGATTCCACACACAAGAAGAAGCGGTAAATTGTGGGGGGTTGAAAAACGACAGTTAAAAAATAAATTGTTTCCTATTTCATACTTTTAAAACATTTTTAATAAAA